CTGTTGATTTATTCGAGTCGTTTCCATCCAGTATATCCACACTGTACCGAGTCAAACTCTGTTTTAGTGATTAGTGAGTCTTTAGTTAAAAAGAGCCGCTGTTAATTATGCTGTTCATTAACGTTTTGTTGTTTAAAAAGGGACTGCAAGTTAAACTCCAACAGTAATTCAGCTCAAATAAGATCTAAAATGTTCTAAATGATCTAAAACGTTTATATATATATAAGTTGGACGCGTCCTACACGGCTGATCGAGACCCAGCCCGGGGGCGACTTCTACTCCACCATGCTTCCTCTAGGTGACGTCATTAGGAAGCATAGTATACATTTTCATAGCTATGCTGACGAAACCCAGCTATACATTTCTGTTCCTTCTGAAGATCAAGACTCTGTAGACAAGCTCGGTAAAGTTAGGTTGATATTCGATATTCAGCCGATATTCGCGTTTCGCCCTCCTACCGCTCACAAACAACCTCTTAAAATTCTGAAATAACATTTTCTAAATGATAAAACAGACAACAAACTACAATCATTATATTCCGTCAAAGTTCTCGATCTTTACATTTCGCCGAGTACTATTGATGAAAATAGTCGGAATCGCTGCAGTAGGCGCCGAAAACGGTAAGGGACCGTCGGTAAAGTGCGGGTACTGATTAAAAACGTAAAACATTCAAAGACATAAGGAGCCTGTTGGCGTTATTTATAAAGAGTTTAAACCTACTGAAATAGAAAGATGATGTGAAAATCAATAACTGACACTAACATGTATACATCTGACCTGATCTGACAAACATACTACAACCTTTAGATTGATAAAATTTGCCTTGACTGAATTTTAATGAATTTTTATAGAAATAAATCACAATTGTGTCACAGCCATATGACTTACAGATCTAAAATCACTTGTAGTGAACAGAGACATGCCTGACAAACATACTACAACCTTTAGTTTGGTACAATACGCCTCGACTGAATTTTAACGAATTTTTTCTTGAAATAAATTGATACTGTGATACAATTGTAGTGTACACTGATTTGCAGTGAACATGTCACAAACCTATTTCAACCTTTAGTTTACTAAATTTATTCTTTGATTGGATTTTAATTTCCTGCAATGGACTTGCGACCTGTCCAGGTTGTTTTCTGCCTTTCGCCAAATGACTGCTGGGATAGTCTCAGCCTCTCTGAGATGCTCATTATTCCCAATCATGTTACTGACCTGATGCCAATCAAACACCAGGTTTGTTTTTTTAACATTTCACAACTTTCCCAGCCTTTTGTCGTCTCTGTCCCAGCTTTTTTGAAACATGTTCAAAATGGGCAAATACTTTTCAAAAAACAACATTTCTCAGTTTCAACATTTGATATGTTGTCTTTGTACCACTGTCAGTTAAATATTGAGTTTAAATGATTTGCACATCATTGCATTTTGTTTTTATTTACATTTTGTACAGCGTCCCAACTTTTTTGGAAATGGGGTTGGAAATGATCGAGCTTCAGGCTTGTGAACTTTTTGGTGTCACTCCACTCTCCTGTTCCACCAGGGGTTCTAGTGTCCTGCTCAGCCAGCCTCCACCACTGACCAGCTCCTCAAGCCTGTCCAAACTGCCAATCCTGTGGTCCAGGTTCACCCAATGTTTTGGGCTTTGGGAGCCTCACTTTATGTAGTGTACTCTTGTTTGGGACCGGCCCGCTCCGGCTCTGACTCCACTCACTTATTACCACACACACTTGTGGCCCATTTCTAAGACTGAATAACAAACAGACAGTATTGATTTAATGTTTTAGGCACTTGAGAAAATGTATTTTAAAAGCTATTTATTTGGTCAGTAAGCAATTAAGAATGTTTTGAAAAACATAAATATTAGGATGAATACAAATTTCCAAACATTCCAAACCCTCTTGGGGTTTCTAAACCTTTGTGGACATCAAGTGATAATTGTAGTTTTCATCCGCTGGCCGGTTTGGTTAATTAGTCTTTCATTAAATCAGGATGTTATATTGTGTTTTTACAAGCCAAAACATGCTACAGCCAAGACAAATGGGTTTCAATGTACAGACTTTGGTCTCTTGCCTTGCAAAGTGTTGCAGCTTTCTGAGTGCATTTCTTAACCATGTTCTTGTTCTGCAGTATCTCTTGTTTTAACTGTTCTTCTGTTCTGTTGGATTTTGATTGTAGATTTGCCGAGTTTGTGCCTGCTTGCCGATGTACTGACCCCTTCCTCTGATGACTATGAGAGTCAGACTGTCCCTAATAAAGAGGGTCGGTGCATGTTTACTACCGCAGCAC